TTTTTTTTTTTTTTTTTTTTATTCCGCGACCGTTGCAACGACTCGGGGCTTCGATGCTGGTCCGTCGTCTCGTTTTACCACTTCCCTCGTACTAAAGTCGTAAAAAAGGATACATTGAAAATTGCCACCGTGAGATAAAAGGAATTTCGTCTAATAATAGGATATTTCTACCGGTTACTGTGCTTCTTAACCTTGTTTTTATACTTTCTTTCTCTCTTTCTCTCTTTCTCTATTTTCTTTTCTGAATGAATATGAAAGTAAAAAGAAAGGATACGAACCAGTTTACCAGCATGCTTATCGAATGCTTTTGCTATTATTATTAATGGAAATTTTTTTTGGTAAATGTTAAATAAAATAATAATGATGAATAAAAGAATAAAAGAAAATCGAAGTGAATTGAGCAAATTTGAAGAATTACTTTTTTAGAAAAAAAAAAAAAAAAAATCGGAGGCATAATAATCGGTACAAATATATATTTTATATCCAGGATAATCTAATATTTGTTCGTTGATAAGGAAAATTTATTATTCGATACGTCGATGAATAGGTTTATTGGATTAGTTGCGGGGATAGAATAGATATATTTAACTTTGAACAATGGAACGCGTATAATATCGATGGAATTGAATTGAGAAAAATAAATTTTTTTTTCGATTAAAAAACGTGTAACGGTCGTGAAAACTTATGTTTTATCGAAGGAAAAATTCTAGCGGTACAACTCTTTAACGAATTCGTTAATTATAAATAATATAATATAAATAAATACATAATATAATATAAATAAATACATATAAGATATATCTCGCCTAAAATGAGAAATTATATATTTCACTTTAAGCAACACAAGATACGAGCCATTCTCTAACTTATCTTCGACAAGTAAACTCGAATTAATTCAACAAATTATTCAACTTTAATCCTAATCTTAAATATGTAATAATATTAACATAATTTTGTTATAATGAAATAATTCTATTTGTTATATTATTGTATTTTAATTTATATTTGTTCATAGACATCATTATTAATACCATGTTGATTAATTTTGCTTTATTTATACACATTTCTTTGCATTTAATAACGTTATTTAATAATAAGAAAATTAAGACACCATATTAACCGTATACTATTATATAATGTATATACTTGTGGTCTTTTTACGCGTATGAATTGTATGCGAGAATGCAAGTAAACGCGCGACTAACATCAGTCGTTAATATTGAATATTAAAACACGTTAAAGCGCATTTACGAGAGAGAAAAAAANAAAAAAAAAAAAAAAAGAAAAGAAGAAAAAAAAAAAGAAACGACAGGCACTGCATGCGTATTCATATCGCTTGTCGTAAAAAAAAAATTATAAGCATATCTTCGATATATTCTATGTTCTGAGTATAATTGCATTTTCGTCTGAAACGCACCTACAGTTTATGCAGTGTCCGTCCAAAGGTATACTTTTAGAGAAGCAACTTCTTATTTTGTAATATAACTTATATATTATCGAGAATGTATCCACGCAAAAGTAATTTCTACAAATGTTATACAATACGTGCGATTTGCAGAATAAATGATAACTTTATTGTTAAAAGAAAAAAAGAAAATATATTCGAATATGTTACACGTGAAATTCCATAGTTTTGTTTCTGTTTGCTATTTAATAATACATTCATTAACTCGCTTATAAAAAGACAATATCTCAGTTATTACACGAATTAACATAATATGAAAAAATATAAAAATAAAATTGTTATATTTCTAATTTTAAAATTTTGTGATTATTTTATTCAAATTGTTTAAGTTTTTCCGATGAAAATGAATCTTCGCATCGAATCTTCGATACGAATCGAAAGAATTCGAGTAGAATCGAACAAAATCTCGAAAGTATAGAGGATAATATAGAGTCCGATCTTACCCGAATTTTTCCGACTTCGTCCGAATTCTCCCGAATAAATGCATAATGAATTCGATATACGTCTACTAAACGAGACATATTTATTTCGGTTAATAAAAATTACTTTCGTAATTATTAGCAAAACACCGTTTATTTCTGAGATCAGCGGAAAGATTAGTACAAATAAACGCAAAGGATTTTGTATCAAACAGAAATTATCCTATTCTTTAAATTATCTCCAAAAAATAAGTGGTATGTAATTCAATAAATACCACTGCGATTCATATGATTATATGGTGCTACATGGTATACATATATACCATCGAGTGTAAAACCTATTAACTACATTTGAAGTCAACAACTATTGTCTTTTGCGTAGATTAGTAGTAGATGAAAAGTAGATATAGTATAGTTAATGAAATAAGAAGCAGTATACCGATGTTGTAGAGAACAAAGATAATATTTGCAATTAACAATTATTTTCCAATTATTAAGTTGAAATATTTCTGTTTTTCATAGTGAAAGTAATATTTTGATGTTACTGCTTCTATTTCCGAAAGATATAATTCCTTTGAAGTTTTGGATACTCATGTAGTGCATGAATAGTTAATTATTTATAGAATCGTTAATTTTTAACTCGTAATACTACTTGTTATTACTTATTTATTATGAGAAATAGACGTATTATTATGTTCTGCATTTTCTAATTATGCAAACATAAACATTATAAATATTCAATTACTTGATAACAAATTCCATTATCACAAATTCCATTTGCTTCGTTAAAAAAAAAAATTTAAGTTTCTAATATATATAACAATCTAAAAATTATTTAAGAAAAATAGTATTGAATATGAAATCTTTATCGAGATACTACGGCATATCGGCATTACACATCATATATTTTTACGATTATATCTTGTTTAATAATTTTTCGTTATTGCGAGCTATTACAATAATTATGTCGCGAATATTTCGAATTATTTGCATATATTGCACATAATACATATATATATGAATTTATAACATTTCTATAAATAATAAGTACTTGATATCTCGAAGAAAAATTTATAAAACTAATTATTTCGCGATACTCGGATAGTCAATGCAAAAAAAGACGAGGACTGCAATTTGATATGGTTGAAACTTATCGTAATTATATTAGAACATTTGTATTATCAATTGTATTGACAAATAAAAAAGAACATCCCTTTAATTCGATTTTAAGGTTATAACAAAATCTTAGCAAATTGGAATGGGCAATGACTGTCTGGGCAAGTTCATGATTTTTCGAACGAGATTGTCGAAAGCCACTCTATTTGAAACTCTGAGGACCATAAACTCACAATAAAATTTCTCGTTTTCTTCGTGTATTATATTAATCTTGATCGAAATGTTAGAAACGAAATCTATATCTATATGAAATATTGCATATAGATTAAGTTTCGTTTCATATACTCGTGTAATGCTATTCTATACATTGTTCGAGTTAAATCACCGGAAGTAAATAAATCACGTGACAGACTATGATTTTAGTTATTCGTGATTAATCATTTGGTTGCAGAAAATAAATTGATATTCATTTGTTTATTTTACTATAAAAATAAATTATTTGTGAATGTTTAATTTTCACAAGTAATTTATATCCACGAATAATTATATGCATGAATTAATATGCAAAATAGTAATTTTTTATTTTATAATTCAAGATTGTGAATTTCCCTAGAGTGTAATCACGTGGTTTTGTTTACGTTCGATGATCATACTCTGAGAACTGTGTGTGGCATGAAATAATTAATAAGTAATTAAAATTAATCAAAAGAAAAAAGAAAAAAAGAAAAAGAAATCGATGTTGTATTTAAATAAATGTCCATTATATCGTCTGCATGACGAAGCATACCAAATTATTTAATCATCGATTAAAAGGATTAGTTAGATTGATAAAAAAAAAAAGAAAAAAAAATGTAGCGTAGAAGAGATCGGTGTATTGTGTTAGTTTAGTCGAATAGATGAATGTTACAAGCCTCGTTTAATTTATATAATTATATAATCTAAAGCAATGCGAGATTTTTTTTAGTTAGAATAGTATGTTAATATATACAATGATATAAATATGTTTATTTTGTATTGAATGTATTTCGCATTGATGTATTTTTCGCAAGCGTCAACTTAGACGCCAACTCCGGACATTATTAAAAATTAAAAAGAAAAAAAGTCGTCGCTTCATTTCATGAATGTACTTTATTATGGACTATGTAAATGTAGATTTTATAATGTTGTAATAAAAGGATTTCTTTTTAAATAGATTGATTCAATTCTACTATTGTAGATAATGAAGGTATTTATCCTTTTATTGCTTATTTATCTTTTCATTCTCTAAACATAATATAGTTGTAGCGTTAGAAATAAAAGTATAGAAGCAGAGATATATTTATATTAATTTTATAAATATTGCTTGAATTTGATGATCTACAATTTATAAATTTTATTTATTTTAGAAAATATTTTAGAAAATATATATATATATATGCCTTCTATTTACATCTTATTAAATCTATTTTTATTATCGTAATTAAAGCAAGCAACATTAAATTAATACTGTTAAAAATAGAAAAAATTATTTTATTAAATAATTTAATAATATAAGATTTTATTAAATTTTATTAAAAATTTTATTAAATATTAATAATTTAAAATTTTATTAATAAATTAAATTATGCATCGTATTTGAATATCCCGCCAATATTTAATTAGACAAAGCGATTTATAGATGGCGTGTATTTAAATATGACGTGTACAAATATGGCGTCCAAGTACGAGTTGCTTGATGTATAATTTCTATAACTGATATTTAATTTTATTTATTTACTATGTAACAAGTCATATTACATCGCTATATTACATAGTTTTATACATTGTTATTTAAAAAAAACCATAAATAAGACTGAAAACTTTTAATTGTGCATAATAGTTGTACATTAGTGGTTACTTATTACTTAGGTTAGTATTGCATTTGAAAATAATAAACATTGAAGTTAATATTTTCTTTTTATACATATTTATACTATTATTTATAGTTCTTTTTCAAATTGTTTTACTTAAAGAAATATATATTTATATGTTTCCTAAAATTTTATAAAATCAATATTAATAAATTTTTATATTTATTCTTTTAGGTATGGATCCAGAATTTCTTTCTAGATTAATACCACAAAACAAAGAACATGTACGTCCAGCATGCAAAAAGTGTGGATATGCTGGACATCTTACATACCAATGTCGTAATTTTATTAAAGTTGATCCAAACAAAGAGATTGTTTTGGATGTTAGCAGTACTAGTTCTGATAGTGATGAAAATTATGTGACTCCTTTGACTGAACTACGTGAAAAGGAATTAAAAAAGAAGTTACAGGAAGCTAAGAAGAAACACAAAGAAAAGAAAGGTAAAAAAAAATCTAAGAAACGTAAAAGATCAACGCCAAGTGACAGTGAATCAGACACAGAAGTTTCTAGTAATGAAGAGAGGAAACATAAACATAAAAAGAAAAAAAAGAAATTAAAACATAGAAAACAAAAGAAACAGAAAAAAGATAATTTATCAGAAACTGATAGTGACGATAAAAAAAGATAATTTCTTTTCGTTTGCATCCACCCAAATGTATATATTTTATTCAAATTATAAATACAATGTACATAAGTAATATTATACTGTTTGTAAATAAACGTGTATAAAATTATTTATTTTTATGCAAATAAGATGTATCAAATAATTCATTTTGTTTATAAAACAGTAAGAAAATTTTGTAATTGTTTTTTGTATAAAAGCTATATTTTATGAAATAAACAAATAAAAAAGTAAACGTATTATGTTTAATTATATATATTCAAATTCATATTATTAAATAATTGTACAACATTGAAGATGAAAATCATCGTAAGGATAATAATAATATTAGATTAAAATAGGATTGCTGGAGAAAATTTAACGTCGCCATCTATCCGATAATACAATGTACTAATTCGAAGAAATAATAGATAGATGGCGTCGTATCATTGTATACATTGCCAAATAACATTTTCCCCTTTCCCTTCTCAGTCATATTTCAGTTTATTGTTTCACTTCACTCAAACTCTCAAATACGAAATGGATGTGTGTTAAACACATCTTATTTAGATTTAATTGAAATAAAATAAAAAAAACATGACGCGACACGCGAGAAATTGCACAGCTGGAGCTGTTTATACATATCATGAAAAAAAGAAAGATGCAGCAGCCTCGGGTTATGGTACAAATACGCAAAGAGTAGGAAAAGATTCCGTTAAAGATTTCGATTGTTGTTGTTTGACGTTACAACCTTGTAGAAATCCTGTCATTACGTTCGTATATTTTGTATTAATTGTCATATTAGTACTCATTATTCTCGAATTATATTTCAAATTTATTATATTATTACAGAAAAGATGGCTACTTATTTGACAAAGAAGCAATATTGGAATATGTTTTAACCAAAAAGAAAGAGTATGCAAGAAAATTGAAAGAGTATGAGAAACAAAAACAACAAGAAGAGGTAAATAAAATATGGAAGAAAATTTTCTCTAATATTTTACAATTCATTTTTACAACTTTTTAGGAACAATCTAATGAAAAAAGTGCTAACGAAGAATTACAGAAATTGCAAAATTTTTTAAAAGGAGAGAAAAATATTGTTTCTAGAAGTCAAACTATAGTCAAAGAACCTACATCTTCAGTTTCTAATATGAGCAATGGTAAAGATAAAATGTTGCCAAGTTTTTGGATTCCATCTAAAACACCAGAAGCAAAAGAAACTATGGTACAGAAACCAGATAAAACAATCTATTGTCCTGTTAGTGGAAAACCATTGAAAATAAAGGATTTAATTTCTGTGAAATTTACTGAAGTAAAAGATCCAGATGATAAAAAATCTCTTATTGTTAAACAAGCAAGATACATGTGTCCAATTACACATGATATTTTAAGTAACAGTGTACCATGTGCAGTTATAAAAACGACGTACAATTTTTTTCATTTTCTAATTATTATTAGTTCAGTTTTTACATTCATTTTTTATTAAATGAATGTTTTGATTTTTCTAGTGGTGATGTGATTACAATGGAATGTGTAGAAAAAATTATAAAGAAGGACTGGATTAATCCATTAGATAGCACAAAACTAACAGAAGCAGATATTATACCACTTCAAAGGGTATAATTTTTAAGAATAATAATAAGGTATAACGAAAATAGAATAATATAATAATATTGAATTGTTTTTAGGGCGGTACTGGATATTCAGCTGTTAATGACAGTTTAGAAGGTAAACATGAAAGACCCGTATTACAAGCATAATATAAATAAGTATTGTAAATTTTATAAATATACAAATTTTGATGTACATAAATGGACTATGTTAATGTTATAAGATTATAATAAAAAAATGACTAAAATATATATTATTTTGATTTAATTTTTAAATTCTATTCAATGATGTAAGAAAATTTAAAGAATTACATACCTCTAATTATTAAGATAATAGTTGTGAGATTTTCTTTCTTCTAAAAGTATTTTTTGTTTTTTTTTTTTGTTTATCTTGATCTTTTAAACTTTATCACATTCGTTATTGTCTAATTTAAAACGTATAAATACTTAAAAAATAATTATGTCGCACTTAACCACTTACATTGTATTATATGTTAATAATTATACATAATTACATTAAATTTTATTTTTAAAACTTTCCGAATATGATTTCTAACACAATTCAATCGAAATTTTCACAATAATTTTACATATTCTCCGTATTTGCAAAAAGAAATCGAGCACGCAATCAATACGTGTTTATTCCATCACGAAGTTCGAATTTAAACTAATGATCAATTAACTGAATCGAAATCGAACAATATGATTGGCTCAAATTTAAAATTTTTCTAGCGCGCTCTTTAGTGAGAGAAAGGATACTAATCCCATGATTCCTTTCGCGCAATATATCGATTCGCGATCCAATCGAGATTTTGATTTCTATTAGAAGGTGTCGCCATCTCAAGGACTACAATTTTTTAAAGCATTCCGAAATTCTCGCGCTCTGCCGGCCAGGCGGCAATCTGCGAGACTACGTTAGTGTTCGCTGTTCGCGTATAGTGCTTGCGCGTGTTCTAAACTTCGTTTTTCCGTAACTGATTTTTTTATTCGGAAAATCAAGTGTCAACATCAGTTATGAAGTGCAGAAGTCATAATGATCGTACGCTAGTAGATTAAAGGTGAGTGTCCGTCTAAGTGTGTCCTTTTTATCCGGATCGTGTATATTATCACGTGTGAATATGCTATGTGATGGTAATACTTTATGCGCGTGGTAATCAGCGATTTTTATACCGTTCTCGAGTGAAAGAATCATTGAGCGCGATTATTTGCAAATGTCAATAACAATTTGTGTATAAATCTGATGTTTAAAAAAAAAATTTTTTTCTTTTCAATTTTAATAAAGTTGTGTTCTATATATATATATATATATATATACACATATATACGTTGCAATAGCTCGATTTGATTAGTTTTGCATGTAAGTTTCCATCAACTCTGCAAATAGGCGTCTACGATAGATCCGTAAGTAGGACATGTAAATGCATCGATTAGTTGATTATCAGTGGCGGGATAATGTAATTGATAAGACGTAAACGAAATTTCAACGCGTTTTATATTCATTCGATTATATATTATACCTCGTTAAATGCAAAAGCAAACAATGTGTCGTTGCATAAGAACAAATATACGTTCGTTAATTGTACCGATATGTTTTTAAGCGTCAATAATCAACTATAATTCATACTTTTCATCATTTTCATTTGCGAGTTCGCGGGTTTAATGCGATGCGACCCCACCACCAGACACCGCGACATCTCATTTTTCACGAATGTGCATTTTCTACGAACAGCATTTCTCGACGCGTTGAAAATCGTTTAAAATTAATTCATATTTGTTATTAAGCGAAACACATAAAACGTATTATAAATTTTTATTTCGTATTATAAATTAATAAAAAAAAAATATATATATTTTAAAAATATACGCGAAATCGATTACATAGCCGTTTATCGCATCGAGTAAATCGATTTTCAGTTATCGATTTATATTGATTTTCGCGTGCCTCATTGTAACTCGAATGCCAGTCGATGCAATTGATCTAATCTAAACGATTAAAAACGAGATTGCAATTGCGTTACACTGTGTATAATGATTTGAATAGCGCATTATACGATGATAAAACATCTTAAGTAATTAATTAATAAATTTACATCTTAAGTTTTGAAAAAAATACGAAATTAAATGTACCATATTGCATGATATTGAATGATAAATAATCTTTATAATTTTTGTAAAACTGTTTTCAAATCGTAATTGAACGTTATTTTCTTTTCTTCGAGAAAATCGAGACGCAAAATTTATTACAATGATTGTCTTTTGTAGCTAATATTCATTGTAAAACATTGCATATATAATGATTAATATAAAATCTACATAAACTTGTTGACATACACACAGGCACATACACGCTATATTAATCATCCGACACATGAGACAAAAAAAATGCTAATTTATCGGTGATACATTGCCATATAATAATAATACCAATAGCAAGATAACATATAGATAATAAATATATGTATATATATATATATATATATAATTTAAATATATATGTATACAATTCATTACAAATATACGCGTATAAGCGTACGCGAAACCTTGTTATATCACTAAGCACATCTGCACACCGTCTACATAACCACAAAATATGTATCGGTCGTAATACGAGTATTTGTCATATCCGTGTTTCGTTCTTACATGCGCGCGCAAGCGTGTATACGTGTCATACGTAATAGAAGGTTAAGCTAGGTTGACCGACCATGATGCAGAGTGCATGCGTAACGAATAGTTCACGCCGATCGTACGAGAGAACACATACACGCGACGAAGAGAACAAAAACACGATATCGTGCGTGTGTTTTCGTGCATGCATAGATGATAAGAGGCGACACGACGTTATATCATCGTCTACGAGACACATGGCGAGTATTGCGACACGATTGTCGCAGTTCTTTCACCCATTCGATTTGACCGTGATGTACAATGCGTTAATATGCATCTAACTGAAATCGGCTCGGTTGGTAATCCTTCGAGACGCGAATCGATAATCGATTCTCTGATCTGCACCAGTGGCGCTGGCGATGAACCGGTCATCGTGAGTCAATGGGTGGACGAACTTGAGATGAATTGAATGTTGATTAGTCTTAAATTAGAGTTTTAATAATGGTATATGCATCAATTGTTACGGTCTGCGAGGTTGATGTAATGATATACGGATAATATTAACCGTGTACTAATATAGCAATGTCGTCACTTGATTCAGATATGCTTTTTATTGGTTATGAATTAATTTATGATAATTCATAACCAATATTTAGAATTTGAATTTCGAATCGTATTTCACAATTTCTTTTACAGATTTGCATTTAAATATAAATCTTAAAATCTATAATAGTATTATAAATTTATACAAGAAATTCCAAGTTCATATGAAATCGTTTTATCGTATTTGTCGTAAATTATGATACGTTTTTCTTGAAACAAATTTACAATCTTGTATTTTTAATTTAACACTTTCCTGGAATCGCATATCTAAATATCGTTCTTTTATAAATTGATTCAATTGATTTTTCAATATAATTCGATTTCTTGCATCATTATTATTTATTCGTAAAAATTATAAAAGTGTACTTACAATTTTTTTTTTTTTAAATTAACAAAGAACGCGATCCATAAACATTGATCTTCTTCAAAATTATATTTCGAAAAAAAGAAAAGAATTTTCTAATTTTTAATTCAAAATCAGAATTATTCTTCGGGAAATCGTTCTCTCGACCTTCTCGTTGTTACTAATAGCCCATTACCCGAGTAATTAATGTTATTTCTGTTCTTCCGTAATTACGATACGTTGACTGATTGCATAATGAAAATCTGAGAAACGAACGATTCCTCATTCTGGAGCGAATTTTCTCGTTAAAGTTGACTTTTTCGTCAACGTCGGCCACTTTTCAAGTCGGCCGTTTCATTAACGACCAAGTGCAGAGGAGAGAAAGCAGGAACTAGGCAGTAGTTTACTACCGTGTGTGGTTCGCCTTTGTTGCACAGACGTACTAAACTACTGACCTCCCTTCTCAAGAAACTCGCAACAGCAGACACACCCGTGCTCCTAAACGTAATCATAAATATGCCTGTCATACTTGTCGCACACGTTAACCTCTCGTATTCAGCGTTAGAATTTATCCAATTTTATTCCATGATAAAATATCCTCGCGTAGAATATTTTTAATTTTTTTTTTTTTCAATCATTATCTTTTGACTTAATTTAAAATTGTAAATTTAAAAAAACGAAGAACAAATAGAAGAATAAGAAATTTCTTCGAGTTTTATGAATATAAAATTCTCTATCCATTTTTTTCCAGACACGAAAAATCTTTCTTACATAAGAAAAAAATATAGCAACATTTCGAAAGAAAAATTTAGAAATGATTTCATAGTACCGGGAAACATGTCGATGTTTATATGTATGAGCCATCATCATTTTCAAAACGTTTTCTACTTGCTTCATCATTTTTTTATCATCGAATTACGGTAGATCAATGAATAATGGAAAAACCTCCCATTCATCTTTTCACAGATGACACGGTAATTTAAAATTATTTTTAAAAATTCCTTTTAAATTTTAAAAAAATTATTAACGACTGCTCGTCAAAAATTTCATAAAATTAGATCTAACTGACAACACACGATATCAATCCAAAATTCCATTTTAAGTAAAACCGTATACCTAAATATCTAATCTAATCATTAATACCAAAAAAAAAAAAAAAAAAAAAAAAAAAAGAAGAAAATAATCGAATTAATACGATATACGAAATAGTTCGACTGAAAATGATCAAACTGGAATATTACTTGACAAATAAATCTAGATAAAAGGAAACTATTGATAATCATTCTCTCTCTCTCTCTCTCTCTCCTCCAAGAGGAAACTGTGAACCACGATCGCTCGTTAATAAATATAATACCACCAGTACCCGGTCACCAACACACCTCTCGCACACTTGAAACATTACGTAATAACGTCTTGCGTGTTTTGCGGTGCGCATTACTTCATATCAAAGCAATTCTCGAGTATGGCACGGTCATTTTCCCACCGTGGCCATACCCTCCTCCCCCTCCCCCTCCCCTCACCCCACACACACACGCGTCGACTCGTTTCCGTTTGCAGAAAAGAGTTTTTTTTTTTTTTTTTTTTTTTTTTTCTGTTAGAAAAATATTTCCGCCATTTCCTCCTTACACTTACGAAACTTATTGGCCGGAGGACAAGCGTAAAGTGGACGCTTACATCCATGATAATGAGATTTAATTATTATTATTATTATTGCCATTTGCAATTTTAATTTAAAGTTTGCAGGGAAAAAAGAGTGGGAGGATAGGAAAGGAATTATTAATTCATCTGGAAAATTGTATCCTCGAGCCATCTTTGGAAATTACATCTTTGGTAAATTGTAAATAAATAGTTTTTCTTTCTTGCCAAGATTTAATGAATAATAATAGAGGGAATTTTTTTTTTTTAGAAGTCTCTATAGGATAGATTAAGAATTTTAACATAAATAACGAGATGTAGGTGATCGAAGAGATCCTTTGAACAGGATTTATTTTTACATATCCGTTTGGAGATCCCTTTCTTTCTAGGAAAGGATATTAAAATATAAAATAATCTGATCTGATGTATAATAACATAAATTAAAAAAAACAATCGATGAGAATATCATTGATCGATAATACAAAAAATATTTTGAGATTCATATTTCACTTCCTCTTCTATATTTATAATTAATTATAATTTTTTTTTACCCGTTAGACGACAACATTACAAGAAAATCTTTTTCCTTTGAAAATGAATAAATGAATAAATAAAATGACCAATGAAAACTATATATTTACTCATCATAAAACAATATTTCAATATTTCAATCCGTCTCGTAAAAGAATAAAAATGCGATCAAATTAAGTAAAATAATCTCTTAAAATTCAATTATGACAATTATGACAATATTACTTATCATTTCCCCTCCCCCTCTCCCCCTCTTCCGAATATTTCGAAATCCGCCATATTTCGATCGATCGATTCGACGGAAGAGAAAATAAGCCCGCTTATTCCCCCCCCCCTCCCCTCCCCCCTCATCGAGGTTAGAATCGAAATCGCATCATCGTCGCAAGGGTAGAAGAATTCGCGAAAACGATCACGACTCGCTGCTTACGGTATATTTACGTAACGCGATATAGGCTGTGCACAAATCGGGGGGGATGGAGGGGAGGGGGAAGGGGAAAAAGTGAATCATCGATTACACTTGCTAGGCTGCAATATGGGCGATGGCTTCCTCGTTAAACCTTGAATGAGTAATCTGCCTCTGAGGTGCCTACGCGTTACTCGGAAAATCGCTTAATACTCTCGAAAAAAAAAAAAAAAAAAAAAA